CTCAGCCCTCCTCCTTTTAAAACAGACAAAAGCTAACTATGGTGGTTTTCGACAAGGAGGTCCCTTTACTGGACATCTTTACTGGATTCTCAGAGATGCAAGCTGCTTATGGGAAGGTAAGTAGCTAAAGGGACCTGTATTTATTGGTAGTGTAACCACCATTGTAATAAAAACAAATGTAAAAAAGAAAAGAAAGCAGCTCCCCAGTTCTGCAACTTCTTTGGAAAAACATCTGTTCTTTAAAAGTCAGCTGAAAGCTCCTGTATCGAGCATCGTGTCTAGCAGCCCCCTAGAACCTGCCACGTGCTGTCTCCAGTAGGTAAGCTACCCTTAATATTAACAAACGCCTCCTCTTGCTCTGCCTTGCAGTCCTTGGATCTAAGAGCATCACGTCTTCCTTCCTGACTTGCATTTCCATGATGATCTGCAAATGCCAACTAAGAAATAAGACAAATGTAGCCCTGAACGAGCACTCTCAAGTGAAAAGCTGGAACCTGTGCTGCCGCTGTGAAGCCATAGCTCTTAATATGTATCTTAAGTAGACAGCTTTGCGCCATGTTGACATTAAAATCATTAAAGCTTATTTTTAAATTTATTTAGAACAGTATATCAGGAGCCTAGATGTTTGCTAAGCCAGCTCTAGGCCAACATGCAACATTATTGTCTTGGTCCAACACAGACTTTTACAGTGTGACTGGGAGGTGCTGGTTCTGCCTTGGCACCAGCAGCGGGTCCGGCACTGTCTCCATCCCAGAGCAGAATATCTGCCAGCAGAGTGGCTGACCTGCTGAGGCAGCTGGTGTGGTTTCTGCTCAGTGCTGCTTACCTCTCCTCAGAAATGCCTCTAGCAATTACTGCCCCCCTGAACACTTTTCCAGATGGGCCTCATGGAGCTGCTCCAGCATTTCTGTGTCTCTCATTTTTGTAGCACCCAATTATTAGATTTGGTTTGTAACAACCTTGAGATAGCAGTGATGGGGAGAAATCCAATTAATGGATCTGGGTGGATTGGAATAGATTAGATGCCTGTCTCCTCAGCTCCCTAAAGATGGTGGGGCAGGACTTGAACCTCTCTGGATCTGGGAATCATGAATGTACAGCCTGCGACTCCTACACAGTTTAAGCGTCTGCGTGAGAAGACAGTAACTCAGAGCAGATTTTGGCAGTTGCCCTTTGGACCCAGGTACCTAGCACCTCTTCAAGTCCCGCCAGATGCACCCTCTTTGGAAATGACCCACAGGCAATTTAAAAACTCACTGAGCTTTTTGCTGCTTTTTTGGTTAAAAGTACTGGGCTCCTGGGCCAGTAAGGACTGGGTCCTTTGATTCCACAAGGAAATCCTTAAGTATCATTTAACTGAACTTAAATTCTGACTGAGCCTTGTCAAAAGAGGAATATTAAAACCACAAGAATTAAAACCAGACATGGTCAGCTGGGAATCTTGCCTGTTTAAAATTAAAAAGTTTACAACAGCTTCTGCTAGTACACTAATCACTGAAGCCCCATCACATTTTTTTCTGTTTCATAATAATTTGTTTCTTTTATTGTCTGCTGCTGTGCAAAAGGCTACCTTGAGAGCAAACACAGTGCAAGTCAGCCAGTGTGCAATGGGTAAACACAGAAAATGACTATGTAAAAGAGCCACGCTTTTACACGCGCTTCCAATTATAACCTCTGATTATAGGCTGCCAAAGTTGGTGACCTCAATTCTGGTTTTACTTCTGGATTCACAAGCCCGATGGTTTCTGAGACCTACTCAGGAGCTGACTTTCCACTGGAGCCCGTAGCGCCCTTTGGCAATCTGATGTTTAGTTGGGGTGGCCCTGTATCAGGTGTCACGCAGGGCTATGCCTGCGAGAAGGGTTTGGGGCAGACTTCAGAATTTTAAGTCATTCCAATAAGGAACACTGAGGTCATCCACACTGCCAGAAAAGGGGGAAACATCTGAGAGACAATTTTGCTATCCATTCCTACACATTCACCGAGGCAGTCAAACTGTTGAAGAACGTTGTTTTCACTCCCTCTGCGGTCTCCACAGATGAAGCGCAAGCATCAGAAGAAACTTTAAAGTGCCAGCCAGGGAAGTGCCCTTTACCAGAGCCAGGAGCAGAGGGTACACTGCTCTGTTGTAACAAGAAAATAAAGCTGTTTGTTTGTAATTAGCTGCATCTTGGGCAGCAAGAATCAGTCTGAACTCTGAAGAAATAAAATTGGGAGGTCTTCCGTTCATTTTAGGCTCTGTGCATGCAGTTTTGCTTTCATTCAGTTGCCATTTCAGATCATTTTAATTCACCAGCAAGAACCTTAAAAGACAGACCAGTTTCACTGCAGCTTCTGGAGTTTCACCAAGGCAAGGGCTGGTGACTCTGCCTGTAACATCACTACACGCTGACTCACAACAGGCTCGCAGCC